TGAGTTATCAACCACAGTACAGTACATTTAAGAGTGTGTTATTTCTTACTCACTGGTGTGTCCAAGTTGTACATGTACATGTAATCTTTCCTTTCTGTTGCCCCTGCTTGGCTTTTGTTGGCAGGTGCTGGAGTGCTCTCAGCTGGCCTGAAATGCATGTATGAGTATGCATAAATTTTATGTGACTGATAAATATGTGTACCCAATACATTTTTGTGTCCATTTACCACCAGGCTATACTGCTGTCAGAGTTTCTTTTTGGCCTCAAACATGGAAAGTCTCAACATCTCTTGTCCTAATCCAACTCAGCTGGAATACACTGTGAATGATGTTATTTAACACTGCTTTACACATTATAATGTAATCTACATGTACATGTACATGATCCTGTAGGCCCAACCTGAAAGTACATGTACAGGTACATGTACCATACTGTCATGACTGCCCTAGCTGTCCTGACCAGCACTGACTCAGGACCAGCCTAATCCAAACTGGCCCAGGACTGACCCTCCTAATTCTACATTCAAATGCAGAGTGCAGTCTACTTACTGAGTACCAGCTAAACGCTTCTACGCATCGCTTTGCAACCATACCATACATGTATATCAAATTTCTACATGTGCATGTACATTGTCGACAAAGTAACTTTCTATCAGTATGTACTGGTATACATGTACATGTATAAGAAACTCCAAAATTTCAAATGTACATTGATTTCAAGATATTTGGCAGCTTTTGTTGTTGAAGGAATGCAGGCAGATAATCATTACATACATATGGTAGAAATGGTTGCAGGTTGCAAATTCAACATGAAACAACTCCATCTTGAAAGGCTGCATCATGTTTAATGCATTTCCTCTGAGATGACATGATAGATGAGATCTTTGTTTCACCTATTAACATCTCTGGATAAACTGCCTGGAGTTCTGCCTTACCAGGCACTCATCCTGTGGCATGGTGTCCCTCGAGACAAGGTCTCAACGTCCACCTCTCATGAAAGTACTGTATGCCACAGCGAATTACATCAAATCACTCCAAAATTCCATGAAACCTCTACACATATCTTTCCTCATTTTGATCGAATTTCTCCAGATTTGTTTGATACTTTATGGCTCGCAGGTTGATTATGAAAGCATGGCTTCCTCTGTAACATGGTTTCTGTAAGTGGAAAATGTTAAGATGTGGTATCTCTGCCTTATACAATACAAGCAATATGCAAGTAGGAAATTTTTCTGATAACCTACGGTACATGTAAATTGGCCAGGCAAATACATGTACCTTCTTCGCATGGTCAATTTCTGCAGCAACAGCTGCATGTGTCCCCTATTGCATGTGGTTTGAGCATGGGACTAAATCTCTCATGGAAGCAACGGAAGCCAAGGAATCTTGATTTTGAAAACTTTGTCTACGTTTCAGGATTCCTCTTGGAAATCAATCCCCGATTGCACATGTAGGCCTGATGCATTTAAATTAAATTGAAGTACCGCAGTGTTTGGCTCTTTTGCATGTTACTTGATGTTTTGTGGCACTATCGCACTTACTATTGCACTTACATGTACAACATCCAAGTCAGGTAGTACAAAACAGTTGAAGCCTGAGACAGAGCCACAGTTGAGTATTGGAAAACGGCCTTAGACACTAAGGTTGTTCCTGCAGAAATTCCTTCCCTTTGTCTTAGTACAAGCCTTGGTAAACTTACAAGTAATTAGATCAGAAAAAGTCATATGGACAAGTAAAAGTTCTGTTCTGTGTCAACATCTGTCACTGTCATTTTGATTGGCATTACTACTTAACTTCTGGAGAGGGGATTCGTTTTTTTTTTTGGTTTTAACACCACATGTTGTATGTCAGGATACATGTACCCTTAGGTTCCAGTCTGTCTTGTATAATCAGATCCTGAGGGAGTGACCATCAGCTTCTTGTCATTCAAGGACGAATGTGTAGGTTTTTTTGGCAGGTTGGAGCAGGAATTTCAGTTTTGACGTTTTTGAATCGTAGCCCAGATGTTGCTGGTATTAATCAGTTTTGATATGTGTGGTGCCAGAATTCTTCTTGTGGCTGTATTTTTTTAGGTTGAGTAACGCTACTGCTGTTTCTGCCTGATGGCACGTTCTGTAGGGTACATGTACATGTGTACATGTAAGTTACTAACCATCAGTACAACCTGACTCCATACTGCACATCTGATGGTAATTAAAGAGATACTGTTAATCATCTTCAACCACCTGCTGATCATGACATCCCCAGCTTCCTCAAATCACAAAAGTGCATGTATTGCATGTACAGGAAACAACGTGAAACCTCTGACAGGTCTGATGGACTGCATTGGTAGATTTGGAACCACGGTTTAGGATGACTTGCAGGAGGTGTTCAACCTGGATTTTTTTAATGGAGACATTGTGTATACGTGTATGTGCCACTTACATGGAAATGTCTCACAATGCCTTACAACTGCTGGTACATGTACAAGCAAATTGCTTTCTGTTGTGGTCCTTGTGAAATGCATGATTGCAGCAAATGTTGTAATGAGCATCACCATTAAGGAAAACATCCTTTATCTACTATAAATACTTTTGCTGGTGAAGCAAGGAACTTAAAATTATATCAACATCATTCTGCTAACGTAATGGGTTCCAGAAGCTGGAAATTTCCAGGAAAATTTATACCGTGAAGAATGTTCTTCCCTCAGGAAAACTCTGTCGGTCAGGAAATTCTGTAATTTGTATTTGGTAACTCTTCAAAATCCCAGCTTCTTAACAAGCAGATGATTCAAAGTCTCACTAGCATTTCCAAACTCCTCTCTTGATCACTTTAATCCCTTTTGATAATAGTAGTCTATACTTGACCACACCTAGAGACATCACCGGAAATCAAGTCTATTGTTTTTTCCCAAGCTATGCAGTTGTCCAAGGCACTGTTTTTGTTTGACATTACCAAGCTTTAATCCCCCATCTTAAACTTGATTGTTGAGTCAGCTTAGTTACAGTATCTCCACCCTATGTGGAGGTTTCACTAATCGTGTCTGCAAAGTACTTTTACATGTAGGCAGATGAATGTAACAGACATTGCACCAGTTTCTAGCTATACTGAAGTATTTTAAACCATAAATTTATATGGTACATGTACATGTTTGTTTTAGTTTTGTGTTTACAGTTTCTTGATTGGAGCTTTTTTGATGTCATGGTGTGCTTTTCAAAATGACAAATACACAGGATGTTTATAATGAAAGACTTGGAGACACTCCTTGGGGGGCAGACAAAAACGATTTGTTTGCCAGCTCCAGGCATACATGTATGAGTGTGTGCATACCAAGCCTTGCACAACTGTCATGACTGTACAAAAGAACCAGATTGTCTACCACCACTAAATGGCTCAAAGTATTCCATTGGAAATGCTGTAATTAAGGGTTGACAAATTGACTGCCAGGATGAAGTTCATAGCTCTAGCAACTAATAAGCCACATTTGTGATAGATTGTGTTCAAATGATCTAGCCATAGCCAGTAGTAAAACAGTTCAGAAATGGCTGCAGACACAAGTCATTGCCTTCCATAGGCACATGCTGTCTCAGCCATTGTCTCAAGCCATTGCCTTCCATTGGCTTAAATGTTATCTCAGCCATAGCCAGGAGTAAAACAACATGGAAATGGCTGCAGCCTAAGCACACTGGTGTCTCATCACAGCTTCATTAATGGAAGGCTCACACACTAATTTTGCTTTGTTCCAGGCTTGTTAAAAGACATTTTTTTGCATAGTATGTCACATGTGGCCAGAAAGTACTTACAGAAGGTCACTTTTTATACAAGATATTCAATTTTCCAGTATTCAATTTTGTATGGTAGCCATCTACTCTTCCTGTGCACTTGTACATGTACAGTGTACATGTACCTTCAGATGAGACCTACATGTACATGTAGCAGCTCTGGACAATAGATTTAAATCTTGCTCCTGCTGTTGGTTAACTTGCCTGTCGTGCTCATTGGTATACTTACACATGTACATGTATCTTAAAAGATAAACTTTCTACATGTCTATGTTTAAAATAAGTGTGCACTTTGAACCCTTCTGGCCTCTTTAAGGAAAGAAAAAGAAATAAAATCTCTCTCAAAGTAGTCTTGACCTCAAATTCTTGCCACTTCTACCCAAAGGTTCCTAAAGTTTTTTGGAACATGTCTTGCTTAGTCATGTTAGGTTACACCAGCATAAATCAAAATCTTAAAGTCAAGCTGAGAATTGTTAATCATGCACATCCTTGAGAAGATAAATTGTTACAGGTGAGGGGAAACCATCTTGCATTTTCCACAGTGACTGGCTGCGGTGCATTTCCTGTGACATACTCCCTTTGGTCCCCGCCCCATTTTTGTCATTTCTTCATACATACATTTACAAGTACGTGCATTACGCATCGTATTGCAGGTAGTTTAGTCCCATCTGTCACAGACAATACCACAACTGTCTGCCACTAGTAACCGCGCTTGGGGCATCAACTGCAACAATAGGTTATTAAAGCTTTAGTCATGCTGTCTGCCATCCAGTGCCCCTACAAGACGAAACCGAAAACCTACCTGATTCCAGTGAAATGAGTAAACCCACCACTTCCTGTTTCTGCCCCACCCAAGACATACAAGTAGTGACTGAGCTGCTTCAATCTCTATGATTCCCACTCCAATTCCCTTACCCATTACCTCCCGAAAGAATTCATAAGCAACTAATCCAACCACATTGCTCATCATTGCCTTGCCACAGAGGGCCCTTATGTCATCCGGTTTCACTGAGATGCACGTGCTCAGAGGTCTGTGTTTTATCACTACACAGATCAGTCTTATGGTGCGACGACGCAACAAAAGTCACCTTGTCTCTGTTTTGTCTGTCTGATCTTCAAGACAGGCTCGTGCTTCTAACGCAATTTCCTCTTTTTTCCTGCATTGTACACGACTGATTGTTCATTGTGTTTTTGAATCCAACTCTCTGAGTATCATTTCCTTTGGTTTTTCCGAAACAGACTACCTAGATGAGAACATGAGCCGAATGGAGAAGTCGCTAGGTAAGCAATTTTGTGTAATTATCTTTGTATTTTTTTCCCTAGGATTTCACATGAGCAGGTATATGTAACACCAGTATTTTACTTTTGAAATTGTATTAGTTTCATAAATGTTGATATCAAATGTTTGATTTTGCAGTCAATAACAGTACACTTTTATTTGTACTTCATGAATTCAAGATTTTCTCTTGAGTGGAAAATGTCTTCATTAATAAAGGATGAAGACAAAGTACATGTACACTGTACATGGCTTTGATCTTTTATCCACACTGAGCCAGATCGCAGTCATTCCATTTGTTCATATCTCCAGCTTGAATGGGGAGGGGGAGATTGCTATTTATATAATCTGTGTGACAAAAATTGGCTGACAACTTGATATTAGACTGAAACGGAGGGGAGTAGTTTAACTGTCCTCTGAAATTGTGACATGATCCGACAGTTTATGTCAGTAGTCATTAGGACCTGGTCAGGTTGAGAGCCAGGCACAGATGGGTGTAGGATTGGATTAGAAGAAAGGTGACCTCTCCAGTGACCTTTCACGTTTAATGGTAATTCATCAGGAAGCACAAGGGACTACTGTGATTGACTTTGCGTGAGTGTGTGGTTTAGGAGAATGGCCATCCTGTCCAAGTTGTTTTAGGGTTTGGACTGATCTCCATCTCATGAATCTTACTAGCCAGATACCGGTACTTTCAACTACTTTTCAAGTTTATATGTTGTTTCATTATATGTCTCCTTTTACATTTACCCAACTCTATTTTTTTTATTCAGTAAACTTGGTAACTCAAAGTTGGTTAACTTAAAACTCTGTTTATCTCAAAGACATTCTTCATTCTCACCACAAGAATAGGCTGTTATGTATAAAAATACCTCCATAACTCGAAATGCACCACTACATCCACTTAAAGTTTCTCAAGGGCTGATCCAACAAGACCGCTGCCAAATTACTGACAAGGAGTGGAAAAAGAACATGGATGCTTTAATTATGAGTCATTTCTGCAAACCGCACTTCGTCTTTTTGCGTGAGGTGTGAGCGTGCTTGCTGCCAGTGCCATTGTAATCCACTCATTGTGACCACCACCGCAACAAATCCCGGCTTTCAAGCAAGCCTGATTGCTGTCGCGGCCCAGAATGAGCCCACGTGCATGCAGTCCAATCGTTGATTCTGTTACAGTGGCCATGTGACTGCACTGAAGGAAGCTTTGTGCATGCCATGGCTAAAGTCTGGCTGCCATTGCCTTCCCAATTGCAGCACTTGTGTGTTGCTCACATGCCAATTGTGACATACACTGTGCTGGAAATGCTGGTTTGCATCGCCAAATTTCACTCGAGTCTTTAAAAAAAGGAAAGGTAAGGGAATGAAAGGATAAACAAAAACACACAAATATTTTTTTAAATTTTTTCTGCTCTCTAACATTTTGAAATGCAAAATGGTGTGCCCTCAAGCGATTAAAAAGAAGGATTATGTGACCAAACAGGAAAACCCTGGGCCTGGCCAGCCTCAGCCAAGCGAGCAAGCACAAGGCCGTTTGCTTTGCGCTGCGCTGTGCACTGAATGAACTTTAGAATTGTTAAAAAAAGGGAAACTGTTTTGGTGGTATATTTTTATTTATCATTAGAATATGAAAATTTTGTATGAGAACAACATGAAATCTCGGCAAAGTAATGCTTTTAGAAGAAATTTATTCTTGAATATAAGGAAATAACCTCTCGTAACATCTCCACTAGCCACCGCGAGGGCAAAGTAGGGCTACTTGTACACTGTATGTGTTGGCAAGACTTGCAAACTTTCATTAGCTTGAAATCTGGATGACTTAAATTTATTTGTCCATTCCCTTGAGGTTTGTGTTATCGAGAGTTTACTGTATTTTCATTATTTTTGTTTACTGGTTTTGGGGTGTTTGTTTCTTTGTTGTAATTTCTTTTGGAGGGGAAGGTGATTTGTTAGTTAATGATGTTTTTAATGACTTAATTTTACAAGTATCTGCAGCACGTTGCAAAAACTGTGATCCCAGTGAGTGAGCAGTAGCATGCCATCGTGGCTGTGGGCTAGCCAGAAGCCGTTAAATTTGACATGTTTGAAAATTGAACAGATTTATCTAGCTACCATTAAGGCAACATTCAACACTGATACTTTCTTCAGTGAAACACATTATTTTTGATATTGGAAGAAATCAAAATCAGATGTAAAATGTTTGCATTTGTTAGCTGGTATTAATCTTACCTTTGGGCCAAGAATGGACAAAAATGTGCCTACTCATAGATGCAGAAGAACTTCTCAAGATGAATGCAGAAAAACTCAATTCTCATCTTAGCTTGGATAACACTCAACCTTTGGTCACCTAGGTGAAGGGAACAAGGTACATGTACCTTACCTTGCTTCTACATGTACATGTAGTTGAATTCAACTTATTTTGTCTTGATCATTGACTTCTCACTATAGTTGAACTCGACGAGCAGAATCGTAGCATGTCTGATGAGCTGATGGATAACAGAAGGAGCTACTCAATGTTAAACTCAGAGCTATCTATGATCAACGCTCGACTTAACTCCGGAGCTGCAGGAGGTGAGTGACAAAATAAAAAAATATAGATAAACTGATCCATAAAATTGATGGATTCAGAAGTCAACAGTGATTCTGTGAGTTGAAAAGAGACTTGTGTGAGAAAACTAAGCATATACATGTATATGTACCTTGAAAAGGCCCTAAACTGAAAAAATGCAAAGACAAAAGTTCTCTATTAAATTTGGTGATATAAAAGTATGAAATGGAAGTGTAATTTGAAACAAAATGTGTGTTTTCGTATCAGTTGCAGTTTTAGCCTCAGAATAGTATGTTAGGTAAATAGACTGGCCATTTCTTGAAATTAATCCAGTTGTGGTTGCCATAGTAAATTGGATTTGACCAATTGACAGTGTGTTACACAGACAGTGACATGTATAGACAAGAAACAAGACTTCTAGTATTCCTACATTTACACAGTACAGCCAGAGTTTTTTGTCATCCATCAAGATCTGAATTACTTTTAGGGCCATATTACTGGAGATAAGGAACTACCAAACCTGACTCTATCCCCTGTAGTCTTTAAGTTGCCGGAGGTGGTATAGAAGGGAAACTGTGGATTTCCTTGCTCCTCCAAATCTAGGCTCCCCTCCTGGAAAGCATGTGTTGAATTTTCCAGCTTATAGACTGGTAAGTGTTAGAAACCAGATCACAACTCTGACTATCACTGCATTTGTGGTTTCAGATGTACTTTGAGTGGAGTGAGTTGCCCCAGAAAATTAGACCTAAAGGCCCCCCCCAGATCCTTGTCTGTGATTTGTGTACTTTCATGTTTGATTGATATCATCTGTTGGCTGGAGTCAGTGATAGGAAATAGCCTAAATGGCTTTCGCATAACTTTTCCGTGGTTGGAGACCATAGTAGACCATAGGTTGGAGTATAGTACCAGTACATGTAAAGTGGTTTAAGTCCTGATGAGTCACTTGCGTCAAGATTGTGTAAAATATGCTGCATGTGTATACACAGTGTAAGTCCATTGCCAAACTCTATCAACTTCTCTTTTTTCCGACTGGATTTCAGATTTGTTACAAAATGATGACTTTCTAATTTAGAATGAAAACACTTGACATGTACGGGCACTGTACATGTATCTGGCTATATTGGAAGAGTGATCTAAACTTGCTTGTCCATCCTAATTAATTGGATATTTCCACAAAGCTGCAAAACTGTCCACTTTCAGCTCTGGTCAGAACCTGTTGAAGGTTTGAACAGGTCTTCTAAGATCAAACCTTGCACTGTATAATTGACACCACATGTCAAGTCCTGTAAACAGTGGTAAAGACCTACTGTACCATATGCTTGAGGTAATTGGAATGCTTCCCTTCACACTGGACATGCTAAAACAGGACAGTCTTGATACTGGTAATTTCCAGAACTGGTTAGGGATTCTGAAGATGCTTTTTAAAAGCCTGAAATGTATCGCTTCATGTACTAGTTATTATACAGTAGGTCCATTGTGACCACATGGCATTTTTGTTTGTTCTTTGCTTAATGGCCAAAGCAAGGCTGACTGACTCGCATGTGGTGAATTGAAAGAATATGTACACATGTACATGTATGTTGATCCGTTGACGTATTTCCAAGGTACTGTGTGTGAATTTCATATTGAAGCAAGTACAATGTGCATGTAGTAAGCATGTTTCCTGACTTTTTGCTGTGGACAGTGGTGGAGTTCACTTGTCAGG